ACGGTAGAATTAGGAAAAGTGTAGAGGGGCAGGGGCAGGGATTGCAGACCAGACTTCCGGGCTCCCTTGGGGGCCGTTTGCATTTACCAGTCCTCCGAACCGAGATCAGGGACGGGGCGGCTCTTGCCGGGTTTACTTCCGAGGAACCACGGTGAGGAATCAGTCGCGTGACCGGCCAAGCAGCCCTGGAAGAAAACCTCCGATCCCAAGCAAGGGGAAATGCTTCTTAGGCGGAGCGAAAGTTTGCCAACGAGCGTGCATGTTGGGGCGTGGTGGAGAGATGTTGGAAATTTGGCTTAGAAATGCTCCGTTTCCCATGCGATTAGGGGCCTGCCGATTGGTGATCGTTTCTCATAGAAATAGCGCCTGCGGCGTTTTGCTCCAGCGGGTGGAAAGTAAGCGCGGCTGCTCCATAGGAGCCACGCTAAAATCTGCCATTCTCTGCCCCTCTCCTTCCATTGAGGCTTAGCGCAACTCGGAAGTTGATTGCTCTGAAGGAGTCGAGTCTTTTTAAACAGTTATCTTTGAAACCAACCAAAGCGGGGGGGGGGAAGCATATTATTTTATCGCTCATGCGCATTCGGCTCCACGAAGCTCATTGAACTCCACGCTGCCCTTCTCGCTGCCGGCCGATGAATGCAGCGCGTTGGGCAACTGGTCCGCTGGGCTGCTGTTTGACGACTTAGGTTAAAAGCATTAAAAAGGCATAAAATAAAGGCTTAGAAAAGTACTGGAAATAGTCACCCGGGTAAATGGGCATACAATTGCACCAGGATTTGGATTTTTTTAAAATTATGTTCCATCAAGTTGATGAAGACCCTTAGCGACCACCTGGATAGATTCTCTCCAGGGGGATCAGTCCCCAACTTGGTCCCTCAAATCTTCCAACAGAGGACCCGTCGCCACCGTCATTGAGTCCATCCCCCTTGTTACTGCTCACCCTCGTCTTCTTTTTCCTTCCACCCTTGAGGACTTCTCCAGAGAACTAGGTCTTCCCATAATGTGTCCAAAGTAGGGTAACTTGAGCCTTGTCATTTGTGCCTCAAGGGAGAACTTTGGATTGATTCGTTCAACGATCCATCTGTTCACCTTTTGGGCTGTCCATGGTTTTCTCAGGAATATTCTCCAGCGCCAAAGTTCAAAGACATCAATGCTCTTCATGGCTGCTGGACCAAGGACTAATCTGCAGCTTACGACTTATGACTCTTGCCTGCTGGTTCCTTTACTGTTGAGCATCCTAAAAACCCAAAGCTGACCATCACTTCGGTACCCTCATTGCCAAATCTCAGGGTGTTTGTTCTACCTGTTGTCATTAGTTTGGTCTTCTTTGTATATAATTTTAGTCCCATTTTTTCACTGTGCTCCTTGACTTTTACTACTGGAGCTTGCAGATCCTTTGCATTTCCAGCTATCAAACAGGATTTAAAATACATTCATGTATGAATCTAATCTACAGTAATAAATCTTTGCTCTCTGCACATTGCTTCTTTAATGTCAGGTTAAGACTATTTATTCTGGATATATGCATGTCAGATAAATTGTACTATTATTCTTGACAGAAGGGATAGTAACAAGGATAATAAAGGAAAGAACAGGACAACTTCAAATTTCACTCAGAAGTAATAGCAGTTGTACATTGACAGTGATGCATATATGTATAAGACAGTTCTACTCACATGTGAAATGCGGTTTGCACTATCGCCTCCACATCGGGCTGTTTTCTTCCTTTTAGCATACTACCCATTCTCTATACTAGGGCCAAAGTACCACATCCACTGAAATATGACTTTGCCCTTCCCCTATAACTAATAAATACATTAAATTTGCTTTGGGCTAATGGATGGTTTTGAGAGATGGTGAGACCCAGGGGTTGAAATCCATTTCTCAGACCAAGCTGTGGGTTTTGCACTACACGCTTGTCTGGACAAAGCAAGTTAGTTTTGATGGTGTTCCCATTTGCCCGCGCCTGCCTGCAACCCCCCTCCCATGTTCCTTGTGACCCTCTGGGGTCTGCAACCCGCAGTTTCAGAACCATCCTGTTTACAGGACCCTGCCCATCCCTTCAGATCTCAGGGCATCCTCCAGATTCCCTCCATCAAGCAATTTATCTGGTAGGACATAAAAGGCATGCTTTCTCTATCATGACACGTGCCCCCATGGGAGACGCTCCCCTCCGAGATCTGGAGGGCCCTGAGCCTCCTAACAGAAGGCTGGGAGGACTTGGCTTGTGTGATGGAATGGAATTATGAAGGCCAGGCTCAGGGAGATAAGCGTGTTCTTAGTTCACCGGAAGGAGGAGTGTGGGAAGTTCAAGAGGATGAGGCTGGCACCTCCCTGATGAATTCACGGTGTTGTGGCTGGCTGGCTTGGGAGCTAGATTTCAGTCTGGGGAGATTTCTGTCTAGAGGTTGTTTCTTATAAACACAGCAGAACTGAATTTGCATTGTCTCTTGGAGTTCTTTGGGCTAAACCTGACAGCTTGTCCCCAGCTGCTGGTCCACAGTAGGAGTGGGGCCCAGCACAGGTGCAGTTGGTACAAGGTCATTGTGGTACTTGATTAGAGTGTGATGGTTTTTGTGTGTGTGTTTGTAATTCTTACATTATATGAGCTTGATTGTTATTAGTCTGTTAAGGTGTAAGATGGGCATCCCTGTAAATCTTTTAAATAAAATAAAATAAAATAAATAAATCAGCACCAAGTTGACATGAGAAAGGGCACTTTTCAAAAACCAGCGAGGAACTATTTCCAAGCAGGCTTCTCTGACACAGACCTCAAGACTGTGATCCCTGGACAAGAAATGGCAGAAAGCGATTCTCCTGCAAAACGGTGGGAGCTGGAATTCAGTCTAACACCTTTTCTCGCAGATTAAAGAAAGCTGTTGACTCCCATGAAGCAGGAAAACGAGGGCAAAAATGCCTTTGTATCACGTTGTTAAAGACCCTTTTGGACAATTCTCACATTTTATCATTTTCTACCTCTCTCAAGAGCAATGTCTTATCGTTCGCTCTTTCTTAGGATTCCATGCAGCCGATGAAAGAGAGAATTCCGTAACAGGCTTCGATGGTTTTTATGAGGCCTGAAAACGATATTGTTTTGCTGTAGAAAAATAACATAACTACCGCTCTGGAAATTTTCTTGTATCTGGCAGAACCACTGTTCCCCAACCACGGCAACTTCCAGATGTGGAGTCCAATTCCCAGAATCCGCCAGCTAGCATAGCCATTGCTGAAGATTCTCAAAGTTCACATATCTGGAAGTTGCCAAGGTTGGGGAACATAGGATTTCAAGCTGCATAGCAGGGGTGAAGAACCCAACCTTCTCTATGCGACTGACTACAACTCCCAGCATACTTTGCCATCCTCCCCAAGACTATTGACATTCAATGTTTGGAAGGTCTCAAATTCCCCACTCCTGCAATACAGTGTAAGCATTTATTTGAGAATTAGACCCACTGATATTACTCAATGGCCCTTCCACTTTATCCCAGAACAGATCTGGGGCTACCAGATCTGGGCTAAAAAAAACTGGGTGACCTCAGGGTTGGAATTTACTATATCTCTTTGCTGACATCTGTGATCATTTGAATTTTTTCAGCACAGATACCCTCTGGAAGCCTTTCTGCTCAAAATAAAGAGTCCGCTGGCAGAATTCCACATTTCTTTTAGTTCATCAAATCCATACTGTTGTACAACGCTGGTTTCAAGTTTTCATAATGCCACTTATTCCAAAATGTACTACAGGTAGGTACAGAAGCTAATTGTTTCAAAATATGCAAATAGGTAAGTTACAGAGGCAAAGGCCTTTTGCCTAAATAGCAAGCAAATGAGCTAAAACAAAATACAGAGTGTAAACATGCCACATTCCCTCTGGTGCTCTCAGTGGACATCCTGGTTTCCAGATAGAGTGGATCAAAACCTCTCCCATCCTCCAGCCAGCCATGATAGGAACCATAATTCAGCACCCCTGAAAAGTTTGCGGTTTGCACTTTACCCCAGTAAACATTGTGCACTAAGAATGATCTTCTGGGCATTATCAGCTAAAGGTTGCTTCCGTTGCAAGTTTTAAATGGCGCTAGAGCAGATTGAGACCCAATTACAAGCAGCTGTTGCTTGTTCTATACGGCTGAGATTTTATTCTTTTCTGCCATCAACTTTGCCTACAGTTATTTGGTGCTTCAGACCCCAAGCTGAACAGAGAAGTGAGATGTACTGTATCTTATGAGCCACGGTGGGTCTATCACAACACCTTCAACCAGAGCCTTACAAAGATGTTCTCTATGTAACAATCCACCATGTAATCATGCAAGGTGCCTTTTGACCTATTACAGGGAAATTCAAGACCAGATTAACTCTCTCCTCGCCCCTCACAAACTCTCTCCAAGATTGGATGTAGAAGCATTCAACATCCATTGAGACCTCAGGAACAGAAGGACAACCCTGAGTGCAAGGTAACTCTACATTGGTTCT